CCCTAGAGCGAGGTGGCCCCATGAGCAGTGGGACCCGCTGGCTGGGGAGCTGCTCCCCTGCACCACAACTTGGCTGCTCAAACCACGGTGCAGGAGGGAGTAGAAATGAACCACAGGACTGGAAGTGGCTGCACCCAGGGTCCCTCAGCCTCCACTTAGCACTCGTGTCCCACTCCCAGTGCTGGATTTGTCCCACTCACCTTTGTGGGCATGGGGCTGCCCAGTGTGCTGTGAGAGGGACTCCGCTCTGGGCTGCCCTCCGCCTGTGCCGGCACGAATCGGGCCATGTAGGTGCCATAATCCAGGAAAATCTTCTGTCGGATGCTTCCGGCCAGGTCCTTGGGTGGGACAGCGGAGGGGATGTCCTCAGCGCTCCCTCCACTGCTACTGCCGCTGCTCTGGGGAGCTGGTCCCATGCCTGGGGACACGGGGACATGAACGGGTCAGGATGGCATGAGAGGTGACGTGCTGCCTGGCCGTGATGCCAGTGACATGCCAGTGACATGCCACCCACCCCGTGCTGGCGAGGGGCGTCCTCTGGGCTCTCCCTGCTGCTGCAAATGCTCTTGGCTCTGGGCTCCTCCATCTCCCCCCACGCTCACTGCTGCCTACCAAGGGCTTGTCCTCCCGGCACACGCGCAGCTCCCGCCCTGGATCAGTCCCGGCGCAGAGCAGAAGCCACAGTGGCCACATCTCACCTGCTGGCTGCTGCCGGGTGTCCCGCGGGAGGCTCGCACGAGGTGCTGGTACCACTCCTCCTTCTCCCTCCCCGTCCGCCCAAAGAGGTACAGGCACCTCTCCCTGCAGTCCCCTGGGACATCCTGCCCTGGCACCGGTGCCTTCTTCGTGCCTTCATCCCTCTGCAGTTCTGCGTCGTGCTCCTCGCTGCTCCTGCACTCCACGACCGCCCGGTCAGGGAGGAGGATGCAGATGGGGTATTTCTTGTTCCATGTCCGCTTTCGGGCCAGGCTGGGGGGGCAGAGGAAGACCTGCAACACCAAGAGCAGCGGTGAGGCTGTGCCAGGCGTAGGCTGTCAGGGGTCCCCACCAGAGGGTCTTTGGCGGGGTCACCTTGGCGTCGGTCAGGTCGTAGCAGCGGTGGCTGACGAAGGCTACGTCAAGGATTTCCTCCTCGAAGGTGGCTCGGCGCGGGATGTTGCTCTTGGGGTAGGAGAGCTTGAGGGTGGCCCCATCCAGCGTGGCAAGCACCGAGTGTGTGAGCGAGGGGTGGAAAAGCTCAGGATCATAGACATGCAGCTGGTTCATCCAGCCCTGGGTGGGGGGAGAGGGAGCTGACTGCTTCCCGCTGTGCCGAACGGGGTGACAGCCTGCACCCGCTGCAGGCATGGCACCCCCTCGGTGCTGCACCCTGAACCCCGGGCTCCCCTCCAGCTGCTGCCCAGCATCCCATCCTTCCTACCTGGAGGCGGTGGGTTTCCTGAGGCTCCCTCAGCAGCAGCTCGTGGTGCAGGTGGCCCCGCAGTCCCCGTGCCGGCGGTGGAGACTTCAGCACGAGGAGGAGGATGGCGACGAAGCCCAGCACCAGCCCGCAGATGAGTCCCAGGCAGAGGCCGGCGGCGTAGGGTGGCAGCGGCAGGACGAAG